CCGTCTAACTCGGCTCCTGGGCCACGTAGCGACACGCGGTAAGCGGCAATCGAAAGAGCGTCAAAAATAAGGACGAAAACACTTCGGTCATTTTTTGGGTCAGGTCAAAGGTCAGGTCACCAGAGGTCACCAAAGGTAAAATGTTGACTATTTCAACATTTTGGAAACTGCCAACGGCTATCTCGGGAACCGATAGAGCTACAGCGCCGCGGAAAAGCGCATTCGATAGCCCTTTTACAGACCTTTCTGAGTAATGTTCTCAGATTTGACCTCAGGTCAACGGTTTAGCCTCCAGAGGGCAAAAACTCCAAAAATAGCCGTTTTTACGAAAAACGTTTTTTCGTCTATAACTTTTGACTCATAAGCGCCATGACATTACTTTTGCCAGCATCGTGTTCCTCTCGTCGAGACGCGTCGAATGAACTATTTGTTGACCTTGAAAGGTCATTTTGAAAATTTGACCTCAGGTCAAGGTCATGACCTGACCGAAAAGGGTCATGTTGCATATCAGTCGATCCGTATCGTCGAGCTGAACACATCTGACGTGTTTTTACCGCTCTAGCACGTCTCTATCAAAAGTTATAGCCAAAAAACTGCTGGCGACCGTTCATGACCTGAGATGACCTCAGGGGCACACAGAGGGGTCACAGGTGCATTTTTCCTATTCAGTGTGTCATGTTTACCTATGAACCGATGTTTGAGAGCGTTTTGAACGATATTCGTCCAAAAGAGGCGCATTTCAATTTTCTCCCATTGACTTATAATGGAGAGGTCGCAAAATTGACCTGACCTTAGGTCACAGATATCAAAAATCCGAGATATACATTTTATACATACTGTTACTCATATCAATCGCTGAAAGTTTCAAAGTGATCGTTCAGTCGGTGTAGCTATAGCGAGCCTTTGAACTTTTTCTGAGGTAAGGTCACTTGACGTGACCTGGTGACCTGACCTTGAACGGCCTAGGTCTGAAATTTTCACAACATGTGCGGAAATGATGTAGGAACACGTGTACCAAAAACGGCGGCGCTGCGCGCCGCCGTTTTTGAGATATTCGCGAAAAACCTGAGGGGGGGCGTAAAAACGCCCCCCCCCAGCACGGCGCGGGTTAATGAACCATTCGCAAAAAAAAAAAAAACTGTCGTAAGACCCACTCGCCGGCCACGGTGACTCTCAGGCCCACTCACACGGCAGCAGGTTGCAGTATCTGTTCTTGGCCCGGTTCTGCGGCAGACTGCCGTAGAGGCAGGGCTGTGTTAGACCCAGCGGCAGGCTTGCGAACTGCGACTGTAGCAGATCCGTGTTCCGAGCGACTGCCACCAGCTCCGACAAGCGAACCCGCGACTTGTTCAGGAACTGCGGCTGCGGTGGCGAAAGAAGTACAGCAGAGAATCGGTAAGAGTTACACCGGCTGAACGGGTATTCTAAACATGGCATGTCCTTCAACTTAGGTATAGGTACGTAAGTAAAAGTTGCCAGTTTGATCTCTCTCTCTCTCTCTCTCTCTCTCTCTCTCTCTCTCTCTCTCTCTCTCTCTCTCTCTCTCTCTCTCTCTCTCTCTCTCTCTCTCTCTCTCTCTCTCTCTCTCTCTCTCTCTCTCTCTCTCTCTCTCTCTCTCTCTCTCTCTCTCTCTCTCTCTCTCTCTCTCTCTCTCTCTCTCTCTCTCTCTCTCTCTCTCTCTCTCTCTCTCTCTCTCTCTCTCTCTCTCTCTCTCTCTCTCTCTCTCTCTCTCTCTCTCTCTCTCTCTCTCTCTCTCTCTCTCTCTCTCTCTCTCTCTCTCTCTCTCTCTCTCTCTCTCTCTCTCTCTCTCTCTCTCTCTCTCTCTCTCTCTCTCTCTCTCTCTCTCCCTCTCCCTCCCATCTCCAAACGCACACACACGCACGCACGCACGCACGCACGCACGCACGCACGCACGCACGCACGCACGCACGCACGCACGCGCGAGCATTTTGAAATGCGCAAAATCCAACGCACCGCCATATATTCGTAGGTGTAATTCTCGTCTCCCTCCTCTCCATCCGGATCCGTGATGCATTCGTAGAGGTGGTCCTCGTTGCATCCCTCTCCACCCGGATTAGAGTGGAGCTCTTCCATTGGCACTTGTGCTGGAGTAGGTGTTAACCAAAATATCATCAACATTAGCATGTGGATCGTTGAAATAATAGCAGTGGCGCGGGAACTACTTTCAAGCTTGGGAGGGGGGCACACCTGATACTTTCTAGAACATAGGGTACCCCCAAATCTAGTTTTCTCACCGGTTTTAGGCCACTTATTTTTCACACCTTGGCCTTTTCAACAAAAAAAAAAAAACGAAACGAAAACATTTGCAAAAAGTGAGATATTCCGTCTCATCTGAGCCAAGGAACTACCTTTTGGTAACCTGGAAGAAGAAATCTTCCACATGAGCTGTCAAGACAGGTAAACAGGGGGATTTTTTCTATCTAAATGTTCTCTTCCACTCAGTTTTCCTTTGTGACCCACGACCGCCAATTTAGGGAAGACAAGCTGCCCCGACGGTTCCTGGCTTTATGAGAAGTTGACGTTCGCGATCCGTTCTGCACGGGCATCACGTTCACATAGTTGGCTGATGTAAGGTCGATCCCCCGCTGACGAGTTCTCTCGAGAGAACCACACCGCCTGCGGGTTCACAACGGTGCCCCCTTAGACGAGAAAAAAACTAGTTGGCTAATAAAAAATCACTGCTGCGTGTGTTGACGCGCACGCAGCCCTGTGCCGACTGACACCCGCGCGCCGGCCTCCTGCCCTGCCGCCCCGCGTCCTGCACCGCCCCCTCCCTCCCCGTGTCGTATCTCCACTTAATTTACCCCCCCCCCCCCTCCAACCCCACTCCCTCCCTCCCTTTGCCGTGTGTCGCTCCCCGGCCTTAGCCTCTCCGCCGCTAAGGTGGCTGTTGACGTCCGCGGTCCGTTCTGCACGCGGGCATCACGTTCACATAGTTGGCTGATGTAGTTCTCTCGAGAGAACCGCCGCCAAACCCGCCAATTCGGAGGAACCCGCAATCCACCGGAAGTACCGGCGTGTCGCCCATCTGAAGTCATCGGTCATGACCGTCGCCACGCCCCTCCGTCAAAGCGCATCCATAGTAGGCCTCTCGCGACCCCAACCGCTATACATACCTACCTGAGGTCACCGCTCACGCCTCCAGCCGTGCCATCGGCGGCAGAACTCACGACTAGGGTCCCGTGACCCCATCCGCTTCATCCGCCTGGGATCATCACCTGTCACCTCCGTCCGCGCCATCGCTGACCGACTACTCACCTGAGGTCCCCACTCGTAATTCAGAATTCTCCCCTGTTCCGAGGCCGGGCCAACTCCAGCTCCCCAGCCAAGAAAACTAACGCCTTGATCATCGTCGTGATCTTCGGCCTCGCCGTCGACAGCCGGCCGCTCGCCGAGCTCACCACTCATGACCCCCCAGCCGACTGACGGGTAGGGTAGGGTGTTCATGCCACCGCTGCGCCCCCACTGTGGTCGCAAGTCATGACCCCCGGCCGCCCCGCTCGCCAGCTGAAAGAAATAAAAAAGTCTCATCTCACGACGCCTTCACCTTACCTTCAGCGGCGTAATGCACCTGAGGTCACCTGTCCTGACCTCAGCCGGCTACGCGCCTAAGAGCACTACTAGTGACCCCTGTATGTATGTACGCGCCACACGCCCGCCGAACGCACGTATCGGGTCACCGCTCATGTCACCTTCCACCGCGCCACTCCCCTGAGGTCGGCGGTCAAACTCACACATATGTATGGTCACTGCACATGACCAACCGACGCGCCACGCGTCTAACGTCACCGGTCATGACCTTTTTGGGCGCCCACACGCCGGCTGACTCACTCTTGGGTCACCGTTTGCTACCTTTTGGCCGCGCCACACACCCGAGGTGCCACTTATGACCTTGGCTGACTACAGTACTCACCTTAGGTCATCACTCGTGTCGTGACCTCTCGTTGGGCAACGCGCCGCCAAAACCTCGGTTGTGTACTCACCTGAGGTCCCCAGATGTCACCACTCGTGGTTGTTTATAACCTTCAGCTGCCCACACACCTGTGGTCCGACTCATGACCCAGGCACCGCCCCATGCCAATCGACCTCTTGCCTAAGGCCACCGTTTATGGCCCTCTTCAGCCATTTCATCGTACGCCCGCCGTCACCCTATGACCGCCTGCCATGCCATGGCCGGCCGGCTACTCTCCCGAGGTCACTGGTCATGACCTCCGGCCGCGCCATCGCCGTCCATTCACCTGGGGTCACTATTATTGACCTCCAGCCGCGCAACACTCCAAGGTCGCCCGGTCACGACCTCCGATTGCCAGGGCCTCGGATAACGAATTTTCACTGGGTGGGCAAAGGCCACCCAGTGAAAATGGTGGACAAAAATGGTGCGAATAGCAGGATCAATACTGGATGGACCACCTGCCAAAATTCTGACGCTTTGGGAGTGTCTCTGAGACTCAAGCATAAAATGTTGTCATTGGACCAGAAGAATGCCTTCACTGAAAACAAATCTACTCATGAGGGGAGAGTAATTCATATTTGACTCGCCATTCATGAGTATATTTGGATGAGTAACTCATGCGTGGAGCGTTAACACTCAAGAGTAAAAGTTTACTCGTTTTGAAAACTCAATTGCCCAAATGCATGACCTTCTCCCTATGAGTTGCCTGACTCATGACGCACAAAACATTGGTATCAAAACTCCCTATTGAGTCTCGCAAACTCATGTAAGGCGAGTAAGGAATGTAGTCACGACCCGTGAGTTAGTGAAACTAAACGTTTGGGTTTAAGAACTCATGAAAAAGAGGACAGGGATTCTTGCTAACTCATTGTTCGTGAGTAATGAGTTCAAAAACCAGTTTGAAATCATTAACTCTTCAAACGCAGCTTAAGGAAACCAATGATGCGCCGGTAAATATGTTCAACCGTGAATTATCCATGAGCTGCTTTACACAAGCCTTACGCGTTAATATTACCGCCATGACGCCATCTTGCATGTTTGTGACGGAAGTGCAGCACGGGACGCGGCGGACGCAGTGAATTGGAGGCTGGAGCGACTGGTGAGTGTTAAATGTTACGCATTTTATTGCCTGTAGGTATGTTTAAGTGCAAAATGCATATTATTTTCATTGAAAATGTACCTACATGTGCACTCACACAACACTACTGATACCTTGGGTTGTCCTGTGGGTTGGTTGACCCTCCTAGTTATGTATTGTCTATAACATGAAAGCCTTTTTGAGGGGTTCATAATATCCATCAAAATGTGGAATATCATTTCAGTCATGCTCAACATGCCCCTACAGTGAAACCTAACATGTTATTCTACGGGCAGCTTTGCCAGCGTGAAGCCTAACAGAATAATTAAAAACATCAAGTATTTTCTTTAAGCCTTTGCCTGTAGCATCTATTTCTGCCAGCCCTTAATGCTCAAACCCTGGTGCAAACATCTATAGGTTAGGATAGGTGGTATATGTGCAAATGAAGTTCGAGTGGTAGGCAGTGGAAGGTTGTATGTTGTAAGATGTAGGCTGGTAGATTGTAGGTACCTATTTAGGTTGTAAGGTCTAGTTAGTAGGTTATAAGGTAAGGCTAGGTCAGCTTTTCATCATGTTTTTCATCTTCCTCGTAGTTCATCTAGTATTTTTGTAATAAACGACTTGTAGGTAATTGAATCATTTGGCCGAATCCTTCTAAAAATGAGCACCCCAAGTGCTTCTTCTAAAAGCCCACCCCTGCACCCCCCAAGAGTGAGATCTAGATACCAGGCATGGTCGAATTGATTCTATCATGATGTTCTCATCTCCTCAGCTGGACGGTGCCATGGAGGCCACTTTCTCAGAGAGGCGACACCTCATCGTCAAGAGGAAAATCCCGATGGCCACCATCCGTCGTCGATGAAAACAAAGTAGGTACATTGTCATAGATAACATGAATCACTGTACATGGTCTGATGCGTTGTAAATTAGCGATCCTATGCAGTCAGAGTCAGGTGGTTTGGTGCATGCAACTGCAGACGCGCCTTCACCGGCTCTCAGAGTCAGTTTTCTTTCTGAAGCTCATCTTGAGTCATTTTGCACCCGCCCTCATGTGTATTTTGTTTCCCTTGCGCAGTTACCGACAGACTAGGGCCAATATCCGAAAATGATCCGATCCACAGGAGCCAAGAGCGCAGTTCCTCTATCTGATTATAAATTCATCAATACTTTTTGGAGACCCTGCTGGTCCTTGATCCAACATGTTTCTTTTGTCGATGAATACCGGCGATCTTGAATCTTACATTTTTGCTCTGTGGATTGATTCTGGGGATCTTGTATCCTACATTTAGTCTCTGAGAACACATTTTTCTTGCTAAATTTCAAAATGCTTTGCATTTAGCGAGGCGTACAAGGTTGTTTAATAAGTCTTTGTGCACAACCTGCTTCGCTGGCCCTAAACTTCAAACTTAACGCTTAATTTTATGTCTACAGACATGACATTTACGTTGGATCCAGGAAATTTGAACTCTGGCATTTCGTTCTCGCGTGGGGTCCGGAATCCTAAAGTGTTATTCATACGTGCGTTCCAGGGGATCTTGGATCCTAAAATTATATTATATTTTTTCAATGAGATCAAGGAGATCCAGTATTCTGACATCCTGGCATTGCATGGGATCTTGCGGATCTTGGATCTTGATTTTTGGCTGAGGCACAAGTCTGTACTTATACCGACAATGCATGCATAACCCCAAGGTCATGTCCGCCGCACGGTAGGGATTGCGAGAGTTACTAATGCTACTGTAAAACAGATGTGCTTGTGTGACATCGCATTTGCATGACCACCGATAACGGAACTGGATTGGCAGTTAATTTTCAGACGCTGCAGTAAGAAGTAGAAGAATTTAAGCCGGCCATGCGAATATCGATGGCGTCTTACTGGTATAGTCGTCCTTCAGCATGCGTCATTAATCCTTTGTTTTCAGGTCTGGAAAGAGCTGAGTCGGATAAAAAATGCCGACTTGCAGGACACCAACGAGTTGGAACTCTCCCGGGAAGCCATGGCCCCGATTGTGGCCAATGGCGAAGGTGAAAGAGCAGCTGGATGCCTCACAGATGGTAAGTTAACAACATTTTACCCGGGAATGTTGGAACCGTAACCGAATAGGTACCAAAAGCTCATGTATTTATGAACGTCCCGTTAACAGTTTGATATACCCGTATACACTTACACGGAAAGTATTTAAAAAAGAGCAGAAAAATGTGGAATTTCATTCGTGCTTCTTATAAGAGATCATAGAAGTTCATCGTTATATCCACTGTAGTAAACTACAGTGGATACTCAATACCTATAGACATTGAGTATGATTAACACATTTTTATCGTCAATTTCAAAGTAATATATGCGAGCACTATTTACTCTAAACATATTTTAATGTTATGCTCACAAGCATCTTCTAACCCGCACCCCGCGGGAGTTCCTAGATTTCCAGGCCCTGCTGGGGGGGGGGGGGGGAGGGAGGAAACGTTTGAACCCATCTTTTAACTTAGCTCCTGGGCCATGTAGCGATACGGCGAAGGCGGCGTTCGAAAGCACGTAAAAAATAAGGAAGAAATTATTTCGGTCACCTTTTTGGTCAGGTCAAAGGTCAGGTCAACAGAGGTCATTGAATGCAAAAGTTCGCCGATTTCCAGGTTAAATTTTGATAATTTTCAAATTTTGACAACATTCAAATTTTGATCAGATCAACGCATAGCTCGGAAACTAATAGAGCTACAAAACCACAGAAAAGCGCCTTTGATAGCCCATTAACGCTCTTTCTGATTAATTCTCTCAGATTTGACCTGCCGTCAGTGGTTTTGCATGCGGGGTAGGGGTAAAAACTGCCAAAATAGATATATTTTTCTGAATGTTTTTCAGCAAAAACTTTTGACTTAAGCCTTTCACGAACTTTCTTTTACCGGAATCGTGTTTCTCTCGTCAAGACGCATTGAATAAACTATTATGTGACCTTGAAAGGTTAACTTAAAAATTTGACCTCAGTTCAAGGTCATGACCTGACCGATAAGGGTCAGGTTGCATATCAGTTGATCCGTTCGTCGAGATGAACACAACGAAGGTGTTTTCATCGTTCTATGCCTCTATCAAAATTTCTTCGCGAAAAACTGTCAGATACCATTCGTGACCTGAGATGTCATCAGGGGCATAAAACGGGGTCACGGGTGCCATTTTCATGTTAAGTGTGGTTGCACTAATTGCTTATATGCCTTTGGTCAAATTAGGTCAATCAAATTAGGTCAGATTTGGTCAAATTAGGTGCACTCGCCGGGTAGCCCGTCGTGAAAACGGCCAATATGACTTACGTCCAAAAGAGGCGCCTTTCGATTGTCTCCAATTTACTTACCTTTAACTGAGAGGTCGCAAAATGCACCTGACCTTAGGCCATCGACATCAAAATGCTAAGATATACATTTTGTACAAACTGTTGCTCTTATCAATCGCTGCAAGTTTCAAAGCAATCGGTCACTTAGGTGTAGCTATGGTAGGCTTTATAACTTTTTAAGTAGTGAGGTCACTTGGCTTGACCTGGCGACCTGACTTTAGGTGACCCGGAGAGCCGCCGTTTTTTTTTTTTAGATATTCGCGAAAATCCACAGAAAGGGGTATTCAAACACCCTCCCCCTCCCCCAGCAAGACGTGGGTTAAAATTGCGAGAGGCATACTGTACCAAATTAAAGTTTGCAGTTCGTGGCCTTGATTTCTGAAGGTAAATTTTTCCGTCGCAGACGATGCGATCGACCATCTTCTCTGCACCGTGCTAAAGAGCACCAAGTTGTGTTCACATCGGCGCCGCAGCCACGGCCTCATGTGGTGGACGACTTCCACGCCATAAAGGGCGTGCCAGCAGTGCAGTTTAAGGAGCTAACGGCAAAGGTGACAAGCTGCTGACGTGGGGGGGCCGCGTTCACAGTGTTTGCGCAGTCGTTCAACCGCCCAGCCATCCGTCTGGCCGGCTACCTGATGTGTGCCGTGATCCTGAAGACCGATGTGTCGCCGCCCCCAAAGCAGTGGGCGGCGATTCAAGGCAAGGGTTCAGTTTTTCAAAACTTCGCAAAAAACGGTCGGAGAGCCGCGATTTTGGCATCATCGTGTTCGCCTCGCTCAGGCGCGTCGAATGGTATACTTTTTGTTCGGGTGAGGTCAACTTGAGGTGTCGACCTCGTGCTTAAAAAGATTCACTGAATCGCCACGAAATCAAGTGCTTTAAAGGGACCCTCCCACCTTAACATTAGTTTTGAGTTGAGATAGCCAAGTTTGCGGCCAGGCTCAGAAACCACCATTTATCCTGGTCGCAACCCCCGCAGCTTTATGGTGTTCAAGAAATTTCTTCCCTTTACTTGCAGGGTGGGACCAGCGTGGTCCCTATCTCTTAACCATTACGGGAATCTGATGACGTCATCAGGCTTTCGAACGTCCGTTAAATGTTTGACTAAAACGTTTTGTAGCACGCGGTGGTATATGCTGCTTTGCGCGCAACAAATGCCGCACTTTCAAATAAAGTCGCTAGGAACAGCGGAGATCCCAAAAAGTAAACAAAAGTAAAAGTCTAATATCTTGAAAACCGGTGAATATTTTTCGATGAAATTTGGTAGATATTCGTTTTTGCTCTTTCTGAACCGAGCGACATCACTTTCATGCCAATTCATTAACTTTTTTGAAGGTGGGAGGGTCCCTTTAACATAGGCGTGTCATCTCTATGTATATAAGATCTCTATGGTAAGCACAACCATATAAGTGATGCGCTCACAGATCTAGCCTCGCTTCCAGCGCGCGAGTTGGCAATGTACCACACTCTGTGCCTTCTCAAGCGTATTATGGTGACCGACGAACCTCTCGACATTGCCGAAGGGCTGGTCTCGGTGGGGCAGAGGAGAGAGCGGAGCACGCGGCAGGATGCGAACCTCTCCCTCCCTCACATACGATCCGAGTCCGGCAGGAGGCGATTTCGCTACCGGGCTGTGTCTACTTTTAACGAGCTGCCAGCGGCCGTTACTAAAGACACCGGGTGCTTTTAAGGTACATGTAAAAAAGGACCTGGGCCACTTTTAGACAACAAGTGTTAGGAAGTGTGTGTACTCGTACGTCTGTGTAGTTTTTGAATGATTGTTCATCATGTCCCTTCATCTGACTCGAACTCTAGAATAGCCATGTTATGATGAATGAGTTTTCAAGTGTCAATACAATACAATACAATCGCGAGATGCAAAAATGCTAACTTAGCCGTAAATGGTGATTTTCGGTTTCGTTTTACTTGGTTTACGACGCCAGTGTTTAAACATGCGAATAAACATGTTTTGTATTCGTTGAGGCACTTTGTTTGGACATTTGCAAGAAGCTACGGATGTTATATACCTTGAAATATTAAGATTAGCCAACGGTATTATTTTAATATGCACGTGTTTTAATACCTATAATATGGTTTATAAAAGTAAAAACGTTGCATTAATAGAATCGTAGAACTATATTTTTAGTAGATTAAGTGTGTTTTCGTAGATATACCATGGGTGTAAAAAAACTCCTTCAACTGCTCAGATATGTACTATTTGTTGAAAAGGTCTTCCACGGTGTTTTTAACCGCGTAAATGGGGTAACTTAAGGATAATAGCATACTTTTAAAAAGAGCTTCAGGGTAATTTAACACCGTTAACGTTATATCATGGTGTAGTAAAACACCCAACCCTCCTAACAGTATTCTATTACCTTCTTCTTGGTGTTCATTTAGAAGCTAATGCGTGTAATTTAAGCGGCAAAGGGACTAAATTATCCTTCCTCAAATGCTCAGATATGTACTGTGCAATTACATCGCTAACGGTGTCAATATTTCTTTGGTTGTGGGGGTGCACTTGGTGAAGGGGGCGACCTTCAATGAGGATAAGGGCGCTTCCAATGAGCATAGGTGGTGCATATCTCTCAAAAGGCGCGCGCACAGGAATTTTGAACGGAGGAGGCACGACTTGCAAACTGGGGCCCCCCATGCCGAATGGCCCCAGGCCCCAGCCGAAAAAGTTTCCCAACGCGATTATATTTCGGTTGATTTGAAACTTAGCTTTTATCGATACACGATAAGTCAATTACCCGTTCAATTTTCAAAGCATTTGATGTTCTAGTTTTGCTTACGCACTTACAAGGGCTTCCTTCCTCGTGATTGTTAACGGTGGCTGCCTTTTGAGCCAGCAGGGACCTTCTGAAAAAAATATGGAAGTTGCTGTATCATGTCTCAAGAATTGGAAAAAAATGCGCATGATAGTTGGCGGATGATAGCAAAACACTGCCAAAAAAGCGTGCACGTTACAAAAGGCCTAATGAAGTTCGATAAACCAAAACAGTCGCTGTCGCTGCTAGTTTACCTGAATGCCAAAGCCCCGATCACGATGAGCAGAATCAGCATGATACCGAACAGACTGCCCAGTATAGTACCGGTCGCTGAAAAGGAACACATAAAACCACGATTAAAAGTGACACAAATAGAACTGTTATAAGAAGGCAAGGAATTGCATGAGAATAGCTTGAAATGAAAGCAAATAACATAAGTCTCAGCTTTCAGAGGCTACATCAAGATTACTTTACTACTCATAGCTTCTACACACACAGAAATATTGAGCGATGTCAAGTTCAATATACTCGTAAATAGTTCAAATAGCTTCAAAGTTCTGCTTCACGTAGTAAAATATCTTTAGTTTAAGTATTTACGTGATAAACAAGCAAGGTATCCGTCGCACAACGCCATAATAAGTAAAGGCATCAAGAATAAGTTTGTTTTTATACGACGTTTATTGGCTAACTAACAAACATCGGCAGTTTTATTACACCACACAAGCATCTTTACGCAAAACAGGATAATGTAACAGCATAACAGATGTTCAAATACCTAACTGATATGTTTTCATGCAAAGCAAGTGTATCCATAAGCGAATGAGTGTTGTGTCACACTGGTAATTGCGGTACACATCCAGAGCACCGTTCGTTTACGTCAACCCGTGTAAATTTAGCGAAATTTTGAGCTAAATGCTGACGGCGGCGGCGCCATTTTCGCAATCTGTCAGTTGTGCGCCGGGGACCGCGGGGGCCGGCGGGGGAGTGTTGTGGTTGCAGTGCGCAGAGAGAGTTTGCCCATTCTTGTGACATCAGTGAGATAAAACAGTGCTGTGGTGTTTATCTAGTTGGATAATAAGCTGAGTAATGAGTGAATAAGTGAATAATAAGTGAAATACTGCATTGTGGTCATCTGATAACTGCAATCAAGACCGAGTCGGAAATCTGAAGCGGAGCGACATTGGAGGAGCTGCTGGAAATTATCCAGCTTTGTCGGAGTGATAAGGTGGGCTTGTAATTTTTCAACTGAACTGCTGTCGTGTTATGAAAATAATGGATGCACTTTCATGCTTTTCTAGGGTTAATTAGGTATAGGTATGCTAATATTTTGCCAGATAGGCAACAGAGAGCCGATGGCTAATTAAATGAACGGTAATTTTGGCACAGTGAAGTAGTGCGTACAGATGACATATTTTTTATTTATCAATTACGGGCAGTTGACGGGAGACGGGCGGTGGCTGCGGCCTGTAGCGGCGCCCATGCGTTGTGAAATATCAGCTTATATACATCATTAGGTATATACGCTAATATAACTTTTATTTCCGTCAGATGTCATGTCGATTCTTAACAATAAACGACAAACAAACAAACGTGTTTGCAGCATGGGGTAGGCATTGAGAATCACAATGTTTCGTTGCATTTAGCTAAGGCTCGCGGCTGGCGACAACGTCCCGCCGTGTGTCGCTTGCGTTACAAATTTTGCGGGCCCAACATTAGCTTTACCAGAAAAAAATCGTTATAATAACCGTCTTATTTGTGTAAATTTACCGCCATGAATTTGTGTACGATTACCACGCGAGTGTTCCTTTTGGTACTTTTTACCAAAAACACATATTTGTGCGTAAATGTAACGTGAGATCCGCGGTAAAGTTACACTGAAAGCGGTTCTCCTACACAATAGTGAAGCACTCCGAAGCTAGCAAAACACACATATAAGTGTTCTTTTACGCAGAAAACAGAGTAATTTTACACCAAAAAAATGTTCCTTTTGGTACTTTCAATTACACCGTTTTTCCGCTCAATATTTCTGTGTGTGTACTACATAGCTACGGGCTACATAGCTTCTAAATAACAGAACTGGAGGCACTTCGTGCAAAATATTACCATTTGGAGCTCGGACGGTGATAGGCTCGTCCACGGCTCTAAAACTGAGTCCCATGTTGTCGGCTGACAGCCTGGATAGCGCCGCCATGCCGATCCGGTAGGTATGGTCGGTCTTCAGAGGTTGGTTGTAATAGGACTTCTCAGAAGTGTTGTAGTACTTTCCATCGCCAATAACGAACGTCCCGTTTGTATCCACGTGCTCCTAAAGAAATCGTGATTACGGAGCGAGCGAAGCGAGCGGAGTCTTACGTAGAATAACGGAAATTTCTGAGTATGAGCGGCCGGCCGGCCGGCCGGCCGTGGTCACGTCACGATTCTACGACGCTTATATCTCAGCAACCACTTGACCGATTTACATGCGGTAATTTTTGTAGGGTAGCTTCATTCCTTCTACCAAGTATTGAACTATTCCCGATGCATGTGGGTGACCCCTTATGCACGTGCCACGTGCAAAACGAAGAGGTGTCAGTTTTGTAATAGTAGCAATATCTCGGAAACTACTTGGCCGATTGCGCTGAAAGTTGACATGTAGGTGGGCACCCACTAGGCACTGCATATCTGTGTGCCAGAGTTGGGGTGCTGCTGCACGTGCGCACGTGCAGGGGTCGATTCCA